AATGGATACCTGCGCAAGTTTTCAGAATCACAAATAGAAACCAAATGAACACCGCGCTGAATTCCTTCGTTCCCTCTACATAGACTGATTATTAAGCCTCTGAATGCCTTTTCTGAGTGCCTGCCTCTTTTGCCTCCATGTTTCCGATTTCGAGCTGCTACCCCTAACTGGGCTACTGTCTTACCTGAGGATAACGTGTCGCTAGGACGTAAACGATAGTTGCACCGAAGGAGACGCCTTGAATGCCGAGTCGACCTGTGAACGGTTGCCGCTTCAACCATTTGATCGGCTTCTAAACCAGGAAATTTGAGAATTGCTCTTGAGGACTGTATTGAGGGCATCCCTATACGATTATTTTCTTATCTAGAGCTGACCTTGAAATTCGGGCGCTAAACTCCGAATTTCGGTGTTAGCGAGGGCGTGTCAACGGAAACGTGTGCTGTCTACGCTATCATCGTTTATGGGGTATGCGACAAGGCAGTAGTAGTATGTGGCGCTGGTGCAGCCGTCAGGACACGCTCTGTCGCTGGAGTATTTTTCTGCCACGTACGACTCGTCCCTCACCACCGCATGGCTTCCTTATCTGGTACATCGCCCCCTTCCCCATCCTACCTACCATCTTCCCAAGGCTCCCTAATCTACTACCACTTTTCCCAGTCTTCCAGGGAATTTTTTCAATTGTCCCCGAAAAACTTTATCAAGTTGGTGATGGTGATATAAGGGACTATACAGCACTACAGCACAGTGAGACAGCAAAAACCAAACACCCCTGCCGAATGTAACCCTCCACCCCCACCCCCACCTGAGAGTCCCCCAAGGTCGTGGATAACGCTCGTAGAACAGAAAAAACTTCACAGGCCAAATAACCCAATACTGACCTCCCGTTCTCGGAAACGCCCTTCACTTATAGTGAGGCGCCCAAGATGTAGTTTTTGCACGAGGTGCTATTGCCCTTTTCTGCGTATAATTCCGGTAAGTTGAACATTAATGTGATTTTTCGTAAAGTAGCAGCTTCCTCACCTCGAAATATTCCAATTCCACTTCTGCCAGTGATTCGACGAGAGTTTTATATACTGAAAGAATGCCACGCACAGCACAACAAAACCTTCCGAGGCTAGCATAGGATTCCCTGAAACTAACTTCAAGCTCACTAATATATCTTCAAAAAAACTGTCTTCCGCTAGATATGTGTACCTTGTGCTCGTGAATACCTCCACCTGTACCAGAGATATCAATAACTGCCGGGAAGGGACCATCACCTGAAGTAAAGGCAGATTATTAGGCGCTGTTTGGCTTGGAGAGGGCATTTTTTTTTGCTTGTGTTATTTCCTTTTATCATTCCTGTTGTTTTTACACGTCTCTGCCTTGCTGAGACCTGTAAGAGTGTTTGGCAGGGGTAAACGAACCTCGTGCTGTACCTAGCTTTACAAGAGCCTCAACAGGACTCCTCCCACAGTAGACATCAACAATGGTGAGAGAGGAGAACCAGCAAAATGCCCCCTCAAGCCAAAACTGGCGTGAATTATTAGGTTGTTCGAAAAGTCCTGCGACACTTTGATTGAATTGTTCTAGAAAAAGACCAAAAATCATTTTGGATGTTTTTATCCCTGATTAGTGGAGTGTGTCCTCTGGGGTTTCTGCACATGGTATATATCAATCGATCTTTGTGGAAACTTTTCAGATGCTAAAGTCCCGCAGAGATCGAGGTACTTTTCGACCTATCCCATATTATGAGTTCCTGTAGGGCAACTCCGCCGTAGTCGAGGAAGCTAACACTTACGTTGTCTTGAGGAAGGAGATCGCTTGCCATGAAAGAGGGTAGCTGTTGCATCAGCGCTTCCAGGCTGGACTTATTTAACTCGTAGTTAGGCAATGTGTAGGTCGCCCACCAGCACAGAATGACGACCCTTTACTCAAGCTTCTTGAGCCGCAGCCGAAGGTAACCACCAGTAAGTTGGCAACCTCTCTAGGCTCCACCTGCCTGACAACTTCCGTGCTTCTCCGCAATCTCGTTATCGGAAAAATTCTATGTGAAGGATGCCTCATGAGTTGGACCCAACGTCCAACATCATGAGACCCGTCTGACAAGTCATACCGAATGACCGCATGTGGGAATCAGGCCACGTCAAAAAATCATGAATTTTGATCAGAGAATGCGACCGTACCCAGGTTATTCAGAATGAGACGGTCTGTGCGCAAAAGAAGGGCAGCTAGTGCCCTAGTCATCAACCTATGGTTACCTTGTGGATTGGAGATGTCTTTGGGTGACAGAAAATTTAGTGCGAAAAATTTGGTCCGAAGTGTCGCAGGACTTTTCGAACAACCTAATATTATTAATTACTATTAGCGTGAAAAAGCCCATCACCTACTATAAAAGGATGTGCAATATACACCCCTCCCGCCACCCAACGGCTGCTATCCTAAAGCTCCCTTTTCTTTCAGCTGATCTTTGCCCCTCAACCGCTTTATACGACAAAATAGTGAGTGCCAACACGGAGAATCAAGCGGCGAGAAGCCGTGAGAGAAGAAGGATGAGGCAGGAAACGACAAGGAATAGCTCCATTCGTCCACAGCGTAGGATAGCGCTTTCGTCAATCACGTTCGGCGGCGGTGGCTTTTGATGGGCGTGCCTAGACGGCGAAGTACTCTCCTGGCATCCTTGTCACTTACTTTTGAACTTGCGCTATCAACGTTTGGTCCGTAATCAGGGCGCCTGCAATTCGGAGCAAGAGGGTCCCTGTCTTGGTCGAGTGAAGGGGGGGGGGGCATGCACGTGGAGAAAGTTCTGAAGGCAAAATATTTGCAAATTTTCCCGCCCGCGTGTCCTGATCGTAACCCATGGGATTTCAGGCATTTTTTTGTTCAGAAGGAAAATAAACGCAATAGTAAAACATCCGCTCAACTTACCTGGTGGCTTGAATAAAGTCCCGCAGAAGCCATCTTCTTCAATTTCGGTTCGTTCTAATTTCGGATGCATGAAATGTTTCCTGATCGGTAACCTTGCTAGTTCACGGTTACTGCAGTCCAATAAACTGAAAAATTCATGTAATTTTCACCGAATTTTTATAATTACAGAGAAGAATACTGTATTGAACCTACATTAGATTATAGATAAATGGTACAGGTGGAGTGTGTCGCAAGTAAGCGCCAAATGGAAAATCTTCACACGGTTCGACACTCATGAACAATCCCATTGGGTCAGCCTCTGAACATCGACATCACACATTGCTCAGCGTCTCATTTCTCAGTTCAATGCCCCGGGTAGGTTCCACTTTTTGAGCGTTATGGACACAACATTAGGAGCGCTGTTCGGCTTAGAGGGGGCGTTCTGTAAGTTATCTTTGTTAATTCATCTTAGGTAACAGATTTCGCCAAAATGACACCTGTAAAGTCCTGTGAAGCTGTGAAATGGTAGGAGTGAGCCACTTCGGTTACAGGAATTTACAGGTTTTCACTGGGTAGCCTGTAAAGGCTCAGCAGCACTGCCCCCACCAAGCCGAACTGCGCCAAAGCATGTTCTACTATTCTGCAGTTCGCGGAATCAGTGGTCCAAATACGCATTTCTTCCAGACTCACCGCTATATGAACCTCTCAAGGGTTTCGCCGTCGGAACGTCTATTTCTCCGGCCGAGTCTGCTTTGAAGACCGCATAAGACATGTGCGTACCCCATCTGTGTTTGACTCTAAAATCGAATTCTTTGAAATCGATAAATTGAAAGGTTAGAGGAGCAGCTCGGCGACCGGGGGGGCATTTTGCACTTTTGCTACTTCACGTCTCTCTAGGTGTCAACCATCTAGAGAGCCTTTTCTTGAGTTGACAGGTTTTACCATGGTGGCTCGACGAGCTTGCTCCAGCTTCACAAGAGTTCACAGGTTTCACTAGAGTGAGACTTGTAATTCGAAACAACTGAAGCATCGGGAGTGCAAAATGCACCCCTCACTCGTCGCCAAACTACGCCGGTTGAATTGCTACACTTATGCCGCTCGCCCCTTCTCAAGCCTACCCGAAAGGAATTTCCCTAGATTCGTTTCAGATCCTCCCACGGAGAGCCTAGGGCTAAAGCCTCTATAAAAATCGCAAAAGTGTCGCCAGTGTGGGAGGATCACTGGATAGTTGGTGAAGAGTCTACCGTTGATTCAGACCCCCTAATTTTCTACGTGCTTTTCCCATCTGCGATGGGAAGTGCTCCCAGAAGTGGGAATCCTGTTAAAGCTGGAAATTCCCGTGAAAAAGGGCTACTCTGTGTAATGAGCGTAATGAAGCGCTCACCT